AACACTCGGCTCAGCGTTAAAGATGGAGGAACCGAAGAAACAAGAACCCGACGTCCCAGAACTGATTCATTATAATTCATGTTCTAAGACGAGCAGCAGCATCGACACCGTAAACATCAGGTTTAAACAGGTCACGGTGGTTCTGCAGAGGTTTGTTTGTTTTGTTAAACTACACAAAGTAACTCATAAAATCCTAGAATAAATATTTATTTATATCTAAAAAAAAACAACAAACAAACAAACAAACAGGCCAAAACTGTAAATAATGTTCATGTCAAAACACTTTTGTTTGTTTGTTTGTTTTTATAAATAATAATCAATCATTTTTATTACCAATGTCTGACTGAAGAATTTATTTGGTTTAAAAATCAGCAAAAGTATTAATTTACATTTTTATTGTGGACTCGGTTCTAGACGTGGTTCTGGACCGTTTTGGCCTGGTTCTAGATTTAGTTCTAGACTTGGTTCTAGATGTGATTTAGACCTGGGTTTGTTTCTTTAGGCCTTTAAGGATCTGCTTTGGTAAACTGAGACGACAGACTGTTTTTCTTTGTTTGCCTTTCATGTGAGCTCAGTTCTTCATTAGTGTGGAGCTAAACTGTAACCAGCCACCAGGAGGCGCTACACACGTCTTCGTACAGCCACAGGTAGCTTCCTGCCTCAGGTACGACTGCTGCTCCTCATCTGACTCTCTGAAACCTAAAACCTGCTGCATCAGGAGTTTTAATTTACTAATCATGACCTCCTCCTTCTTCATGTTCTGGTTCCTCAGAGCTGCACAGAAACATGAAGCTCAGTGAAGGAACCTGAGCCTGGAGCTGCTGCTGGACTTCAGAGGGTTAAACAGTGTTCCTCATAAACATCAGCCTCTCTGTGAAGCTTCTGTCTCACATGATCTCCAACAGTTTCCATGACACAAGGATGAAAATATGTAGTTTTGCTGCTGAATTAAACATCATGTCGTGTGTTTATCACAGCTGCCAGACGTTTGTTCAGCACACTTCTTCTACTCTGAAGGTCTCAGGGTTTTCTCTCGTACCTCCTCTTTGGTGAACTAGTGCAGCGTCTGAGAGCAACAACAAACCGTTCGTCTCCTAAACAAGCAGAAACAGAAGCAGTCAGCTCGGAGCTCTTTTATTTCAAACAGCAGCTACAAGATGGAATCGAGGATAAACTGGTTAACTGGAGCTCTCCGTCGCTGCTGCCCATCGGCTTCAGACGACTTCGTGACCCCGGAGGCAGCATCGATCTGAGACGTGGCGCTGGTTTGTCCCGCTGCCATCCATCACAGTGAAGTGTTCATCACTGGGCTCCGATGGGGCGTTTAAGGACACGGCAACTTCCAGAAAACCGGGTGTGAAAGTGTCACATTCATGAGACGTGTGATGAAAAACAAACAGGAGGAAACAGTGGCTGGATGAGTCACTGTCAGTTATCTGCTGGAGTCAACGGGACACTCAGGCAACGTTTGGGCTCCGGAAATGTGATGTGATGCTGCCAGGATGTAGGTGTTAGCGAGCTAACAAGGCTAACTAGCTTCCCTTTAGTCCAAAAGCTGGATGCTGTAAAGAAACAGAAGTCTTGAATTAAATAAATCCAACTGTCCAACTCACTGACTGCAAGCCAGAACAGATCTGGTTGCCTCCTCGTTGCTGGTTGCAGCAATGACCGTAAACCCTCCACGTTAGCAGAAGAAGCTAAAAAGTCAACAAAAAATCTAATTTATCTTTAAAGATATGGTTTCTGTAATATGAAGATCTAATCGCATTGATGTTTGTTCACATTTTTCCGATTTGGTAATTAGCAAATTAATGCTAATGCTATAGCTAGCAAGCTAAGATTCCTATCAATCTGTGGAGGAATTAAGGTAATATGTACGTAGCTAGCTAGCTAGACAGGAAACAGTTAGCGATGAAAGTTGTCTAGAAAGTGATCAGCTAACAGCCGGCGTCCATGACAGTACAAGACATGGAGCTGCTGAACTATGTCAGCTAATATAATTAGCAAGTTAATGTTAAAGCTAGACAGCTAAGAACATGAATATTCTATTGGGAAAAGTAGCTGCCATGTAGCCAGTTAGCAAGACAGCTAGCAGCTACTAATCATTGTTAACTAAAATCTCATTAGCGTACAGTGAGACAGTCAAGATGGCAGTGGCTGAGCTATGTGAAATAATGTAATTAGCAAGTTAATGCTAATGATACAGCTGGAAAGCTCCAACCATCGAATGGAACAAAGTAGCTAATATGCAGCTAGCTAGCAAGACAGCTACTAATCATTATTTTCCAAAAAATGATCAGCATATAGCTAGCATCTACAACAGTCCAAGACAGTCAAAAAGGCAGCACCTACACTACATGAGCTAACATAATTAGCAAGGTAATGCTAATGTTAAAGCTAGCAGTCATCATTATTTGGAACATGATCAGCATACAGCTAGCATTCATGAAAGTCCAGATGGCAGCTGGGCTTCGTGAACTCACATAATTAGCAAGTTAATGCTAATGCTATAGCTAGCCGGAGACAATCCCAAACAATTCATTTGGTAAAGTAGTTGATAGGTAGCTAGCTAGCTTGACAGCTCACAGTTACTAATCATTATTATATAGAAATAATATGTGTAAATAAACATTAATGGGAGTCAAGATGGTGGCAGCTGGTTAAGTTCAGGGGCGTGTCCTCACATATGGGCGGGGCTTCTTCAATATGACTCCGCCCTCCTGGTCGGCTTGTAAATGAGCAGGACAAGATGGCTGCAGCTGTTTCTGCCATATTTCAGCTTCACTTTGGTTCAGTGGGAGGACGCGGCGGCCATCTTTAATTAGTCTGTCAGCCAGTAGCAGCAGAGCGCCATGAACACAGTCTCCTACCAGCCGAATGTGTGTTTATATAAAACAGATTCATAAAATGGAAGAATAACTGCAGCTAGATGATAGTTTATGTTTTCAGCGTTCAGTAAAGGGTTCGTTCTGCATGTGATGAGTTTACTGACTAGAGCCTGACGGTAGTTTGTTGGAAGCAGTTGAAGAGTGAACCCAGAACATGGAGGTGAGATAACGTCTACTTCAGGGTCATCATGGAGCCTGAATCCACTTTAGAAGATGGACGCCTCCATCTTCACACATCAGGACGCTGCTAGAACGCTGTGGACGGAAGCGTGGACTGACGAGCGTTTCCTGACGTCACGCCGTCATCGCCCTGATTGGTCGCCGGCGTGACCCCGTCAGCTGGCAGGTCCACCTTGGTCCAGCTCTCCTCGGACTCGGCGGCGATCTCCTCGTCTCGCTCCTCCTTCCACAGCCGCTCGTACTCCTGCTTCAGCTCCTGGTAGGACCTGGAGAAGGTGTGGAAGATGGAGGTGGCCGGGAACGCCATGATGAGGATGCCGCTCAGGATGCTGGTCAGCGCCACGATCTGGCCGGGGATGCTGCGCGGCACCATGTCGCCGTAGCCCACCGTCGTCATGGAGATGATGGCCCACCAGTAGGAGGCCGGGATGCTGCTGAAGCTGTGGTGGGGGTGCGAGGAGGCGAACGGCGCCAGCTCGCTCTCGGCCAGGTGGACCAGCGGCGAGAAGAGGGTGACGGCCACGCAGACGAAGAGCAGCAGCAGGCCGAACTCCCGCATGCTGCGCTGCATGGTGAGGCCCAGCGTCTGCAGGCCCAGCGAGTGGCGAGCCAGCCGCATCACGTACAGGATCCTCAGCGCCCGCAGCAGCCGCAGGATCAGGCTCAGCTTGTCCAGGTAGCCGCGGCCGGCGCCCATGATCACGTCCTCCTGCGACCGGTCCCGGACGTCCACCACCAGCGACACGTAGTACGGCAGGATGGCGATGGCGTCGATGATGTTCAGCGGGCCGCGAGCGAACGCCAGTTTGCTCTGAGCGTTGATGAAGCGAAGCACGAACTCCAGCGTGAACCAGGCGACGCAGATGGACTCCACCACGAACATGTTGTGGCACTTCTGGGAGCATTCGCCCTGCAGACACGAGCACAGGGAGGCGCTACCGTTAGGACAGCTAGCCAAGGTAGCCAAGTTAGCTAATGTAGTGAAGTTAGTGAAATCAGTTAAGCTAGTTGTTCCGACTCGGCCTGTCGGAGCTGAAGAAGCAGGATTAGCATCAAGTTCATATCAAAGCTTACCTGAAGAAGGACAGAGGCTTTAATTAGAGACGCTGCTGAGGCTGACAAGTAAAAATAAAACATGAGTCGATCTGAAAAACGATGCAGAAGAAAAAGAAATGTCCACCATCTTGGTTTAGCATGTTAGCATGCTAGCATTCACTAATGATGACAGGTTACTGTGAGCGGCACGTCATTGGTTCTGTTGGTGGCTGGAAGTAAAAAAAAAACTAAATAACTCTGACCTGCTTAACGAGCAGGTCGTTAAGACATTTAATTAAAAGCCAGATATGCAGGAAAACAAGCAAAGTGCTCCGTATGAGAGGATAAAACAACCACTAAACAGAACTGGTAGATGGAAAAATAAAGTCAGATTTAAAAGAAATCATTCAACAAAACATAAAAATACAATAATAGCTACGAATATGACTGAAACGGAACCAAAATAAGCCAAACTAACCTTTTTTTTAAACCTAACTGCAGTTATTCAGAATAAATTCTGTAGAAAAGCTGTCAAACACAACATTTTACTCTGAAATGTGATTCATAAAGGCCCAATAAAAAGGAAATGCTCCGATAAACATCAAACTGCCCTTAAATGCAGCACTGGCGTGTTCGCCTTCTGGATTTAAAGTAAATGCTGGTGTTGAATGAGTCTTTTTGAACGCTTCCTTTATCAGAGCAATGATTTATGAAGTTAAATAAAATGACTTTACGGGAACTTGAGTGTCAGAAAGACTGAGTTTTTCCCACATTTGATAAATTCGATGCATTTGTCTGATAAAAAAAGAGACTTTTAATGGAAGTGCAATAACAAACCTTATAAATAGTGTTTTAAACATGTATTTATTGTCTGTCCAGGCTGTTGTTCAGAGAAACACCGTCCTGGTTTCACAGCATCACTTCCACGGTTTGTGTTTGCACAAAGCCGGAGACGCTGCAGAGCCTTGAAATGGATTCTGAATGTTTAACAGACTGCTAACGTGAAGGAGCCATTTATTGTAAAGGGAAAAAAATCTATTTCCATTCGGTTGTGATTCTGACGGCAGGAAAACAAGACCTTCTAATGAGGAGCCTCAAACAGCGACAACGAGTGAAATTACAACCTTGGACGACGTCGCTTCTCTAACTGCACTTAATGAGGCTGTTTGTGACGAGCAGAGGGCTGAAGGGCAGCTTTCACCAACCGCTCAATCAATACTTTTAATCTGGAGCTGTGAAGGAGAACAAGTGAATCATGTGTGAAGAAATAAGGACGAACTTTGTGCTGAAGCTAATTCCAACACTTCACTGTTTAGACGAAGCCTCCAGCAGCTCCTGAAGCTGAAACTCAGCGTCCAGGAAACAGACGTCAAACCAGGTCCAGAGGCTGATTCTGTAAATAAAGAGCTGGATGGACTTCTGCTCACAAATAGAAATCAGTTTAACAGATTTTAAGCTGTTCGATTTGTCACAAAGGCCAGATACAGATACAGCATGAATCATTTTATTCTTTTAATTCAAATGTATGGAACCAATTTTAATGCATTTTTTTTAATTTTTTTTTTTTATGCTCTTAACTACTCATGTTGTTATCTTACTGTTGTGCTGTACATGAGTCCACATAAAGGGCCATAAAAATACAATTCGATGAATAATATTGATCATAACGTTATTTTTTTCAGATTAAAAAAAAGAAAATACTAATAAAACCCAAGACAATAAAATGTTAGCATATATTGCTAACTAGCATCCATATTGGTAACCTAATTGCTCGCTAATTGTTAGCCCCCGACATTGTTCTTTGTGTACCTGAACATATGACCAAAGAGAAAGAAATGTTGATGTTTAATGTAAGCACACTGCTAACTAGCATGTAGCTTTGCTTTACCTGCAATTATTTTGGATTCATGGCTCTAAAAACGTCTGTATTCCAACTCAACATGAATCCAAACATATGAACATAACTGTGAGACAGAAATGTTATGCTAGCTTTCTCTAACACTTAGCATACATTGCTAACTGATGTTATTACAGTTGTAGTTAATATACATTATAGTTATTTTGGTTTGTCTGTTAAGAGAAAGAAATCCTTGTTTGTTATGTAACTATCACATATAAGCAGTTTTAGAAGAAAGAAATAACACAATGTGCTTGTCTAGACTAGCATTAGCTCATCTTGCTAACTGACAATTGCAGTTGCATTAGCCAATCATCAGGGATCTGCATTAATTAGTTATTTTGGTTTGTTTACTTGAAAAACGTCCTCGTTCCAGCTCGTATATCTGAGAATAAAAACAACGTGAAAGACTCGACGTAGTGTGTTTGTTTAGTCTCATGTTAGAAAACCTTCCTAACCACTATTTTTGTATTAGCTTATCGTTAGCAACAAAGTTATTAGCAGCTGGTTTGTCTACTTTAGAAAAATCATCGTCCAACCTGTTGTGTGTCTAAACATAAAAACTATCCTAAGACAGAAGTAAATCAACGTGTTTGTCTAGTTATGCATTAGCATATATTGCTAACTAGCCTCCACAGTAGTAACCTTGCATTAGCTCATCATTAGCAGCCGACGTTAGCTGTTTTGGTTTGTCTACTTTAGAAAATTCTGGGTTCACTGTGTGACTAAACATACAGACAATGTTCTGAGAAAGGAATTAGCTGCTTGTTTAGCTTTATGTTAGCATTCACTGCTAACTGCCATTCAGAGTACTAACCTTCCATTAGCATTACCAAACTATATGCTGCAGGCTAAGTGCTACTTCAGAGTAAAATAAAAACCAACATGCTCCATTTATTTTCTTTCTGACTCAATACTGAGGTTCAATATTTTTTAGCCACATGGAGCTAAATTAGCATCACGTAGTGCTTGTGTGCATATTTAAGTTCAAATTCCACCTGACAGAGTTTTTAATTAGCGAGTTGCAGCAGCAAAATGAACGGACGCTAGCTTCATGTGAGAAGCTGCTTCAAACTGAAGTCCAGGAGCTGCTGTTCATAAACCTGCTTCACGTCGTGTTTGACGGCCAGCGCTCGACTTTAAAACCTCGTGTGAACCTCGGCCACATCCAGGAAAACAACTCTGAGTTTTGTGTTTCGGTTCTTGTGCTGAGCTTTGATTTTCTATCATGTTGATTAAATGTCTGCAGACGCTTTCGGGGGGAATCGATCGGCCGTCTCCGGCTCAGAAATATTCACTTCATCCTGATAACAGCTCATAGACTCAGTCCTGCTTGTTCAGGCCAGAAAGCTTCACATCCAACAGACTGTTCACTCAGTGATGACGTCTGCCTCCCGTCTATCAACCCTTCACTTCATGTTTGTCTGTTTTTTCTTTGTCTTAAACCGTCCTGATTCTCATGTTAATTTTCTTTGTATTTTACATTTAAAACATCAGAAATAAAGAAATAAGACGACTGTGACACATTTACTCGACTAGTTTGAGCTTCTTCACTGATCTCTGCTGCATGACGGCGTTTTATGTGATTTTCTGCCAAAAAAGCAAATTATTAATCAGATTTTATGGTGAGAAACTGTTACTGCAGGAAAGACTTGTGTCCTTGTGAATGTCTTTGCTTTCTTTTCTGTCGTTGGAACATCTTTTGATATCATCAGATCCTGATTTGTTGCTGAAATGTTGTAAAGAGACGGTAACGTGAGCAGCAGGCTCACATGTTCCTTCATTAATTCAGTTATTAGTCCAGTTGAGAGAAACACGGCTTCCTGTTGAGGAGAATATTCAGATAGTTTGGCTTTGAGTTGATCTGATGAGTGTGTTTGCAGAGAGTTGTCTTTTTCACATCCAGCCTACACACTCACATTAGCATATCAGCTCTCCTGTGTGTTTGTGGTGCAGCAGGTATCATGCAGAGTGTTGATCAGTGATCAGTTCTGCTCCCAACGCCTGCAAACGTCCTGCATGAAGCAAAACGCAGCAACAACGGAGAAAAAAAGCTGAAAGAACCAGCACCGCTTTAATCAGTCATTACTGACAGGAAAAATATTAATTAGTACAGAACTTCATCAATTTTCAATTTGCACGTTTTGTACAGTTGTTTTATTTATTTTTATTTTATTCACTTATTTTTATTTTTATTTTTTTTAAATAGTATTTAACTTTGGCTCTTTTTCTGTTGGGATTGGTGTTTTTCTTACTGCTGTACCACAGCAATGTCCCAGACTGGGATAAATAAAGTATTTTTCTATTCTATTCTATCAACACAGAATATTTTGGGCAGTTTATTTATGTATTTATTTTTTTAAATAAATTTCCCATGTTTAGTCCGTTTCAGGTCCACGGCTGTGAGATCAAACCCAACAGCCTCAGTGTTCATGGATCAGAGACGCTGTGAAGCATTTAGAAAATAAAATCAACCAGCAGGTCGAAGTTTAAACTGAAAAACTGCAGCAGAAACGAACAAAAGACTGTAAATCAGAGAGTAAACGAACATCCTGACAGCAGCGAGTCAGAGACGCTGATGTTACTGAACCTGATCCGAACAGATTCACAGTTAGCTTAGCATTAGCATCATCCATTATTCAGTTGTATTGGTTCGTCTATAATATACACTCTGAAAACTAACTCAAAGGAGTTTATACCACAATTTAATTAGGTGCATGATTTCAAGATAAAATTATAAATCGTTGATTTGATGAAACCTTTTAAGTTCTAAACATTATTTTGATGGTTGACAGCAATTTAATATTTTATATTTTAAACTCATATTTCTGCATTTGGTGATTTAAAACTAAATTCAAGCTGTTGTAACTTCATGAAATTAACTTGACACCTTGATGAATCAGGATTTAAAGTCTGGACAGGTTCAGACAGCAGTGGATCCTGGAACATGTCCAGCTGTGATCACAGTTCATCCTCCAGATGTTTATGATGAACATGTTGTTCTGTAGCTAATGCTAATGCTAATGCTAATGCTAATGCTAGTCATATTTAGTGATGAGTCCGACCTTCAGTTTAACAAACCGGTGGATGAAAAACATTTCATGTCATTTGACAAATCTGCTCGTTTGTTTACAATTTGTGGGGAAATTTAAATTTGAGTTGTTAAGATTTAATTACCGTGTGTTGAAATACACGACTGAAAGAAAACAAGGAGAAGCTAATTACCATCGACTTTGTTTTGGATTTCATGAATTTCTTAAAAGCCACAACATGAAGTTAAACATGAAAAACAGAAGAACGTCTGACTTTCATGCTGCCAGTCATCCAGAAACGAACACATCTGTGACTGTCGAGGAAAAAGTCCGTCTTCAGTAAAACAACATTTAAAAAAGAAGACGAGGATCAGGTTTCTAATAACTCGCCGTGTCCATGAACGCCATGCCGGCGACGCTTCGGTGAGCAAATTCTGTTAGCGCAGAGAGATTAAAGTTGATGATTCTGTTCAGAATAGAAATGATCTGAATTTAAATGACTTGTTGTTTGAGGCAGACTTCTGAGGACCATCACGATTAGAAAATTCAATTTCAAGCATAAAAGTTCTTTTGTGAAATGTGGATTTTTTTTTTTATTTTTGTCTGTTTTTGCTGTTTCCATTAACTGTTTCTGATGTGACACTTCAGAATGTGCATACAAATCAGTGACTGAGCTGATGCTGTGGAGCCTGTTCTGCTGAATGTGATGCAACAGAAGTGAAGCTGCAGCCACTTCAGACCCGGCAGCGCCACAAGGCCTTTTCACTTCAGCTGCTTTATCAACCTCTTCTGCTGCTGCTGCACTAAAAGCACAACAAGTCAAGACAGCTTCACACTGATCAGAGTGTCGGCGTCGTACTGACCCTGGTCTCCTCGTCCCTCAGGTCCGGCATGGTGCTGATGCAGAGGCTGATGACGGTGACCATCACCATGATGATGGACAGGCAGGCGAATATCTTGCCCGCCAGGCCTGAGTGGGGGTTTTCCACCACCTCCCTCAGCATGGACACCAGCCGGCGGTGGCCCTGCTCCACCTGCAGGGCCTTCTTCTTCAGCAGCAGCCTCTTCTGCCTCCACTCCTTCTCCTTCCGCTCCCTCTCAGCCACCTCCTCCACCCGGGTCATCATGCGGCGCCGGCAGCAGCGCTCCATGTGACCCGGGTCAACACCCCAGTAGTCCAGCTCGTCGTGCAGCGACACGGCGCACAGTTCCCGGAGGAGGCGGAGTTTCCCCGCGGCCAGGAAGTTGAGGATGACCCTGAAGGCGGTGGGGTTCCGGTCAAAGAAGTACTCCTGGACCGTCTCGTCGTAGTCGTCGCAGAGTCGTGCGATCTCCTCCGGCGTCGTGCAGAACCGCAAACGTCCCAGCCGACTCTGGGGAAACTGCTCCAGGGTGCTCCAGGGGAAGGTGTAGCGGTTCCCCCCCACATTGATGAGCACCTGCAGGGTGTGGTCCACCACGTAGGAGGCCTTCGGGTCGCGGAGCCGCTGGGCCCGCTGGAAGTAGACGCCTTTGAGGGTCTCAGTTTCTGGGATCTCGGTGAAGAAGCGGTCGAGGCTGCTGTCGTCGCTGCTGATGGAGTAGGTGCTGAAGTCATTGTTGGCGTTGCTGATGATGGGCATCCTGGCAGCCGGAGGAGCAACCAATCAGAAGAGGTTATATCAGGTCCAGCTGACAGGAAGTGATGTGGAGGAACCACAGAGAACAAGAAAACCTGTGAGGACAAACAACAAACAGAATCAGTATGAAATCAGGCCAACAACACTAAAAACATTGATGTGGAGTCCCACAGGGCTCCGTCATGGATCCTCTTATGTTCTGCATGGATCAGGCTGCAGAGACTTTATTCAGCTCATGTATCGAATCAGATTTTTATTCAGCATTTAAAAGTACCTAAAAGCTTAAAAAACTGCAGCTCAAATACAGGAAACAACCTTCAGTTGGTCAGAAAACAAAACCTGGAAACAAGATGAGCGACATCATAAATAAACCTGTGGGCTTCAATTCCTTCAATCTGCTGAATCTTCATTTCTTCATCATTTCTTTCTTTTCTTTTCTTTTTTTTTGCATCAGTTTATGTAGTTTTGTTTAAAAAAAAAAAAACTTATTCAAAAACATTCTTTTTTTTTTTTTTTAAACAAATACTAAGATGTCCATATTGTACCATGTGGCCAAATATTATTAAATTAGTTTGAAATTATTAGTAAAAGGTTGAAAATTGTAACGGAATGTTGTGAAATAATATTATATCTAAAAATATGAATAAAATATCTGATAATAAGGATAAAATGTTCAAAAATATTACTACAATTTACAAGAAACGTCTAAATGTCAGAAGACTGTAAAATGACAAACATATTCATACAGTCTTGAACAATATTAATAACATAGTGGAACTAATTAGAGCCTTGGGGCTTGTAAATAAACCTTCTATGGAAACAGATCAGTTAAAATCTAGAACCAGAATCATTTAATCAGATGAAATGTTGCCACGTTGCTGCAACTGTTGACCTTGTTTGCAGCTGCAGGCGGTTTTAGCTGCAGGACAACAGTTTGCTGCTGATTCACTTCATCAGCGTGAAGCCGTTCAGGAGAAACGCTGCAGGACAGGAAACGTGTCGACGCTCCAGTTTTAGCCCAGAACCTCCGTCGGTTCACACCTCCAACCACGTGAGCGCCGAGGCGAGAACCACCTGCAGAGGTTGAAGCTGCCGCGACCCGAAACAGCCCAGAAACAAAGAAACACTCTGAGGTTAACGGATCGGATCATGACCGACCCAAACCTCACACAGATTT